CAAGTATATACAGCGGCCTCCAAGCACGCATTCATTTTAAAAACAATCTTGCCATTTTTGTGCCCTGTGCAGCACATTCTTTTAATTTAATTGAAGATTCGGCGGCGGAATGCTGTGTACAATAGGGTGATTCAAAAAAAGCCTTTTTTTAAAAATGAACCCGCACTGGCCTAAATTATAAAGATTACATTAAAACTAAAATATTGTTACCAAAAAATCCAAATTCGATGAATATTTAGAGGTCGCTCAAATCAATTTTCGTATTTTTGCACATTCGAGTCGCGAAATTTTTACTGCACAAAATAGTAAATAACTTCGTTAGTTTTTAATCGATATTATTAAAAATTTAAGGGTTACCTAGTTTTTTAATACCCTCTGAGACAATGTATTGAACTTTACAGAAAAATATTTTTTTTCATGAAAAAAAATAATTTATTAATAAAAACGTATCATCTTATAAAATAAGCAACAATTGGAATCGCACTATTATGGTACCGTAAAAAAACTAAGAAAATAACACTTAAATTATTTAGTATACAGAAAACCTGCCGAAAGAAATATTTTATTTGATTTATATAAAATATAACCTAAAAATAATTAAGTAATTTAGATTTTTTCCATTTTCAAACGATTTTATAAATAATTTATATCCGTTTTATTAATTATGACGTATTTTTATAATATTTCTTTATTTTTGATACCATATTTAATTAATTACACTAGGTAGTTATTAAATTAGGTCCTTTTTACAACTAAAATAAAATAACGTTAACTACAAAATTATTCACTCCATTAAGCAAAAATTTAAATTTTATTAAAATTATTCACATACAACAATTCTCAAATTTTGATACCAAAATTATTTGATTCTGTCTAGAAGTTGCTAAATTGACATACCACAATAATAATTATTATTCTTAAATTTTGATAGTAGGACCTACTACCAGGTAGTTGATAAATTATATAAATATAAATATATATATATATATATATATATATATATACATTAGGGTGCTTCAAAAAAATTTTCGCTCTTACCCTCTCAAATGTTTTTATTTAATATAAAGAAAATCCTCACCAAATATGAGCGTTCCAGCTCAACTCTAAGAGGTCGATGTTTTTATTTTAGTTTCCCATTGAATTAACATGGGAAAAAATAATTTTATATTTGGAATTTTATACCTCTGTATCAAAGTAACTTATGGCAATGATTATTGCAGTTTCTTATATAAAATTTAACGCTCTACAAAAAGGGTCTCTTTATTTTTCGATAAATTGATTTCTTCTAGAGTTATTCGAGGTCAAAGTTTGATTAACATCAAATTTTCTGGTTTTTTTTTTTAATTTTTTGGTAAAATTAGCAGACTTGAGGTGGAAGTTTGATTAACATGGGGCACCCCATTTTGCCCCCCCCGCTGCCTTGTTTTGCCCCCTTTCACCTCCCGTCTGCTAATTATACCATAAAATTAAAAAAAAAAACAGAAAATTTATTTGTTAATCAAACTTTGACCTTGAATAACTCTAGAAGAAATCAATTTATCGAAAAATAATAAGAGACCTTTTTTGTAGAGCGTTAAATTTTATATAAGAAACTGCAATGATCATTGCCATAAGTTACTTTGATACAGAGGTATAAAATTCCAAACATAAATTAATTTTTTCCCATGTTAATTCAATGGGAAACTAAAATAAAAACAGCGACCTCTTAGAGTTGAGCTGGAACGCTCATATTTGGTGAGGATTTTCTTTATATTAAATAAAAACATTTGAGAGGGTAAGAGCGAAAATTTTTTTGAAGCACCCTAATGTATATATATATTTATATTTATATTTATATAATTTATCAACTACCTGGTAGTAGGTCCTACTATCAAAATTTAAGAATAATAATTATTATTGTGGTATGTCAATTTAGCAACTTCTAGACAGAATCAAATAATTTTGGTATCAACATTTGAGAATTGTTGTATGTGAATAATTTTAATAAAATTTAAATTTCTGCTTAATGGAGTGAATAATTTTGTAGTTAACGTTATTTTATTTTAGTTGTAAAAAGGACCTAATTTAATAACTACCTAGTGTAATTAATTAAATATGGTATCAAAAATAAAGAAATATTATAAAAATACGTCATAATTAATAAAACGGATATAAATTATTTATAAAATCGTTTGAAAATGGAAAAAATCTAAATTACTTAATTATTTTTAGGTTATATTTTATATAAATCAAATAAAATATTTCTTTCGGCAGGTTTTCTGTATACTAAATAATTTAAGTGTTATTTTCTTAGTTTTTTTACGGTACCATCATAGTGCGATTCCAATTGTTGCTTATTTTATAAGATGATACGTTTTTATTAACAAATTATTTTTTTTCATGAAAAAAAAATATTTTTCTGTAAAGTTCAATACATTGTCTCAGAGGGTATTAAAAATTTAGGTAACCCTTAAATTTTTAATAATATCGATTAAAAACTAACGGAGTTATTTACTATTTTGTGCAGTAAAAATTTCGCGGCTCGAATGTGCAAAAATACGAAAATTGATTTGAGCGACCTCTAAATATTCATCGAATTTGGATTTTTTGGTATCAATATTTTAGTTTTAATGTAATCTTTATAATTTAGGCCAGTGCGGGTTCATTTTTAAAAAAAGGCTTTTTTTGAATCACCCTAGTGTACAAGCAACTAAATTATTTTTATGTCTACAAAATTTATACAATTTCTTTGCCGCGTCAACATCAAGATAGAAAATTTTGAAAGATACGTTAAGGGCAAAAAACAAAGTTCCTAAAAACTTAAGCAACACTCGTTGGTCAGCAAGAGCTGATTTAGTGAAGGCTGTGGTTTCCGGTTATGAAAATTTTAAAGATGCTTTAAATAAAATTTACGAAGATAATTTTCAAAGACCTCCAACAAAAGCTGAAGCTAAGGGGTTGTTAAATGAGTTCAATTCACTGGAAACTGCTATTATGGTAGGATTTTGGAGCGAAATATTGGAACTGATTACAATTACAATTATTAGATTATACGCTTCTTTGGAAAAATTTGTACAGTCGAAACGAAATACAGAATCATTTAACTTTTACAAATCTGAAGGTATAAAATTATCCGGATGTGATGAGTACAAACAAATACGCAAAAGAAAAAACAGTACGACGAAAATGCTTTAGAAGAAGTTAAATTTGATGCCAATAACGAATTCTGCATAAATACATATCATGCTATTATTGATAAACTTCTAGCAAAAGTTCAAAAAAATATATATATTTAAGGACAATAATTGACTCTACGAGCCCTAACCACATAATGTTCGGACACTTCATAATTTATACAGAAATTTTTTTCGTGAATACTATCTCAAAATTATTAGAAGTTATGATAAATTCAGCTTATTTTGGCATATACCCCTCGAAGCGATTTTTATTTTTAAAAAGTTTACCTTTTATTTTTAGCTTTTAAAAAAAGGCTAACTTTTTAACTTTTTTTTGCATGAGTAAAAAAAGTTATAAATGGGCCCATTAAAAAGAACATAAAATATTATACAAACCCTGAAAATTTGGTAAAAATTGTATAAATAATAAGAAAGTTATAGCGATATATATATCTGCAAAATCTCCCGTTTCCTAAGAAAATTGCAAAAACTCTTTAAAAATAGCATTTTTAAATTACTTATACTTTTTTATAACTTATTTATTTTTTACCAAATTTTCAGGGTTTGTATAATATTTTATGCTCTTTTTAATGGGTCCATTTATAACTTTTTTTACTCATACAAAAAAAAGTTAAAAAGTTAGCCTTTTTTTAAAAGCTAAAAATAAAAGGTAAACTTTTTAAAAATAAAAATCGCTTCGAGGGGTATATGCCAAAATAAGCTGAATTTTTCATAACTTCTAATAATTTTGAGATAGTATTCACGAAAAAAATTTCTGTATAAATTATGAAGTGTCCGAACATTATGTGGTTAGGGCTCGTAGAATTGAGTCTACATTTCCTAACGTTGCCACAGCACTGCGTATTCCCACTACAAATTGCAGCGAAAAGAAAATTATTTACGGTCTTCGTTGGGACAAAGCAAATTAAATGATTTGAGTATTTTATCCATAGAGAGTGACTTATTTAAAAAAATAAATACCTACGTGTGATATTATTCAGTTTGCAAAAGAAAATGCTATGAAAATAAATTTATAAGTTACTTTAGTTTTTTGTTTAGGTACTATAAATTTTGTTTTTGTTCATATAGTTTTTTAATTTTGTTCATATAGTTTTTTTAATTTTGTTTGAATTTTAAGTTTTTATTTAGTATAATGATAATAAATGAACTTTTTCTAGTTGTGACACTTTTGTTTAACTTGTGAACTTTACTGGGAACGTAGCTAAAACCAGTTTGCTCTCAAAGACTTGCCTTTTCATTTTCAAAATGCTTCTTATTATTATTTATTCTATTTATCTTATTTTTATTCAAATTGTTTTGTTTTTATTATATTTATTTTACTTTTTGTGTATTTTATGTTTGTTTGTACACAAACATATAATATAGTATTTAAAAGGGAAAAAGCTCAAGTGGGTTACGTATAAATTATTCTGTGGGTAACCTGTTGGTTATATTGAAATTAGTTTAGGTTTTTTTTATATTTATACTGTGATTGTATTAAATTTTGTATTATATGTTATTTATTTTGCACGCTCAAATGCAACTGCATTTCTGTGCTTTTAGCATATTTATTGTAACACTGTTTTAATATTTGTAAACATTCTTTAAACAATAAATATTATTATTATTATTATTATTATCGTGATTTTTAAGGAAAAATTCATTCATGGCAATTTTTTAAATGGTATACATACCATTTAAAAAATTGCCATGAATGAATTTTTACATACATGTATGTTGTCCACATGCTCTTTGCTTGCATTTGTTGTGTTCTAAAATTGGTAAAATAAATTTACTATATTTTGTATTAATTTCATCGCAATATTAAAATATTTTTTATTTTAGAAATAGTTGAACATAAAGAAGAATCAGATAAAGAACACTCAGATAATGAGGAAATTAAAGAAGGTATGCTTTTACCTGGAATACAAAGGAAAATGGCTCAATGTTCACTTATTTGTTTATCAAAATATGAGCAAAGTGTAAGTGTAATAATATTTTTAATAAAATTGGCAAATGACTGGTTACATTGTGAATGTGAACAACTTATTGTAAAGAGGTACCTACCTAGATATATAATATGTAATTTTTTAAATAATACACTTACAGACAAAAATATGCAATATTATTACCTAATTATTTTTTGTAACATTTATGAACTTTTTTGCCAAGTATATTATTTTAAAAATGCATTATAGATTTGTTTATTATAAATAAATTAGCAATATTTTACAATTATGGCGATATAGGATAGCGTGCTTTGGCGAGTCAGAATAATTACGCTTTGGTTTTACATTATTAGAGTGACATTTCTAGTCCATTGTGCGTTGATTCTAAGTTTTCTGTTAGTAAAATGCCACATCTTTTAAAAATGCATAGATTTGTTTATTATAAATAAATTAGCAATATTTTACAATTATGGCGATATAGGATAGCGTGCTTTGGCGAGTCAGAATAATTACGCTTGGGTTTTACATTATTAGAGTGGCATTTCTAGTCCATTGTGCGTTGATTCTGTTAGTAAAATGCCACATCTAAATGAATTAGAATTAGAATCAGTTCCTGTCTAACTTGTTACTCTAGCTAACAACGCACATACAGGTATTTGCACGATCTACGCGGCCAAAATTATTTTTACGCTTAATTGGTATCTAAATAACGTAAATAAATAAAACAAACTTATTTTTACAACAAAATTATGTTTTTTACAAAAAAATATATATATTTACAAAAAATACAATTTTTTAGGTCGGTAAAAAGGAAGAAAAACATAATAATACTAAGTTTCTTGACTTTCTTCGTCGCTCTCTGATGAATTTTTTGATAGATTGGATTCTGCACATACAAACATTGCCAAGGTTTTAGGCAAAAGTGTTTTTGCTTTCTCTTTTTTACAGTTTGCATGCTACTTAGTATAGGATCTGAACTAAGTAGAAGGCAGTTAAAAATATCCTGATTACAATTTACCCTGGAAAATTTTCTCGCAAAATCTTGGCGGTATTATAAAAATTAGAATGAAGTTCTTCCGTTTTATTCCTTCGAACGACTTAGATGGTCGACCTGGCCGATTTTGTGAAGTCTTAACAACAGGTATTTTAAAAGTAACTTCCAGCCAAGGCCGATTGTATTTTATAAAATTATCTTCTTTATGAGCTTTGGTCCACCTTGTTAAATTTCTGATTTGAAATTGGCCAAAAACTAAAAAGTTGGTCTTCATTATAACCTTCACATGAAATACTCTCTAAAAATGAATTAGTCAAAAATGACTAATTGTCATAGCGAAAAAACATCCACTAATAATTCTCGTCAATAGCAATTTGTATCCCACATTCAGCAGTCAATTTCCATGTAAAATTGTCCCCTGAATCCGAAAATGTCGTCAAAAGTTAGAAAAGTATAACATTTTTTAAGAAATAGTCAATTTTCCATATAATATGGAATTGACTATATCTTAAAAACTGCTCTACTTTTATGATTTTTGACGGTATTTTCGGAATCAAGAGACAATTTTACTTAAAAATTGGCTGTTAAATGTTGGGGAACATGGTATATGTGAAAAAGCAGCCGCTAATAACTGTGGTAATTAGTCATTTTTGACTAATTCATTTTTAGAGAGTAAGTTGATCTTATAGATAGTTTAATTTGGCATCTAAATCTTTCTTCATGAGGTCAAACAAGTATTGTCGGGTCACAATCATTACTTCTGATACACCCTCTGAGCCTAAAACAAACATACACTATGTCACTAACAAATATTTAAAATTTTATACGAAATTTCGCTAAATATCTTTAATCCCTCAAAACTGTATTTATCCGGATGTTTCCGGAGATGTTTTTGATAGTAGTTATAAGGAAAAAGATCAAATAATGACCTATAATAATAACCATAGCCCGATCTACCCCGATACATAAACAAAAACACTAGTAAAGAAAAAATATTGAAGGAAATCACGGTACGAAAATAAGTATTTTCATTATAAAAAAAATAATGTTGTTTAATAGTAGATCATGGCTTAATCAATGTTGTTTGTAAGTTTCTTACAGAATGCAGCACTTTCAATTCGTAAGAAGAACTTAAAAATTCACTTGTATTGTAAATTTGACAGCCTTATTCATTAAATATTACTTTGGAACCACTTTTAATTATTTTGCTAACTGGCAACAAATTGGTTTTTAATTCTGGTACGTATACAACGTTCCTCACCTGTATTGTATCGGTGCTGCCATCTTCTGCATTTGCCTTGATACATACATTTCCTAAACGTTCAACCTTTAATATTTTGTTGTTAGCAATTCTTATGCTCGGTACTGATGAAAGAGTGATATCAGTGAACCATGGTCATAGATGACCCTGAGTCAACATGCCAAAAATTGGAGACATTTGCCGTGGATGCTGAAAAGGCTGCAACATATCCTGTTTTTTATCTGTTTTTTTCATTGTTGTCTTCTTATGCCAACAATTTTTACTGATATGTCCATACTTATTTCAATTAAAGCACCTAGGGCCTTTTTTATTTTTGTATTGATCACTTTTGGGCTGATATTTTTTTGTGTTTGTATAAAGTGCGGTAGTTTCTGATATCTTTACTTCCTGTAGTGATTTATTTTTCACTAAATCAGCACTAATCTTCATACCGGAAGTTTCTAAGCCCATAATCATGGCCCTGTACATCGTCCACATTGAACTTTATATTCCTTAACTTGTGCGCGGCTGTCATTATTTTGTTTACAAAGTCTTCAACTGATAAACTATTTTCCAACAAGCAAACTTTTCGAGTTAATCCGCTGTCTTCGAATGCCTTTGCAAAATGTTCCCATACCTGTTTTGCATTTTCGGCTTCTTGAATATGTACATTAGGGTGTCCCTTATTTTTATTTTTTTTACGCATACCCTCTAATTATATTTATTACGTGTTTATATACTTCCAGTAAAAATTTCAGCTCATTCTATAAATGGGAACCCGTGCCGACTTGCATCTGAACCCTCCGTTAGCCAACGTTAGGCGCGCGGTATTTTGTTAAATAATATGCCGTTTAAGAAGTTGCCATGCTAATGGCTAATGCACAATTTCAAGCATTCTATTTGAAAAATCTACTCGATGCCGAAAATCGTCATCATAAAGTTCCTGCTGAAGTTCCATATGGTACGGGTGAAATGTATGGTTTAAAATTATGCGATTCACACTGCTTTCCGATAGACCAGTTTCTCTTGCGATCTCCCGAGTACTCAAAAAAGGATTTTTCCCTATCGTCAAAAGAACTTCTAATTCATGGTCATCATCAATTCTCCATCCAATCAGTTCTAGTTTCTTGTAAGAAATATTACCCGTCAGTTCAAATCTATCCCTCAATTTTTGAAATGAAATTACTCGGGGCAATCTTAAGTCTGGATATTTTTGATGATGAATTCTACTAGCTAGCAGAACATTTCGATTCGCTTCTCCAATACAATAAACCATATTTATCATTTCTTGTCGCGTAAAATCCATTTTAACTGAACAAATACTAGAAATTTGTCTATCAATGTCAAGTTCTAGTTAGTATATTTTGCAGATAAACTAACTGGTACATAACTAGATTTTTAAGCCAATCAGAGCACGTCAATTCCAACGACAAGCACCGCTGGCAATAAGGTGTCGGACGCACATTTAAGTAGTAGCGCTGCGCTACACTTAAACTTTTGATAATGTCAGGATGGCAAACATTGAGTTTAAAGTTTAAAATGTTGACTCTTTCTCACATCACTACATCTCAGCCAGGGGCGTGCTGGCTGAATCAATGCAGGCCTGGACTAGATGGTAGAGCAGTCCAGGCCCAAGCCAATTTCATATAAATTGTAAAAATACATCACAATTAAATACCTCGACTGATAAAACGTCCCGTGATAACTCTCTTCGCAACAAAGAACTGTTTTCAGCTAGTTCAATTATTAAGTCACAATCTAAACCATTTTGCACCTTTCTCTTCACAGCAATCAGCATAAAAGCTTCCAAATTTACGTCACTTCACACTAATATTAAAGGAAAGTATAATCACAAAGAAATCAAGACAAAAACTGAGAGAGGGGGCTTTTTTGGATGCTTTTGTAATTATGTTTCTGTTTCTCTATAAATCCGAGCTGATCCCCCCTTCCGATAATTTATAAATTTACTAAAATTGCATTTTATCGAAGTGACCCCGGATCAGTTTGGATTTTCAAAGAAACGAAAAAATAATTACGAAAGCATCCAAAATATCCCCACGGTTTAGGGTTTCCACCTGCGACTTCTTGGTTAAGGGTTAGCATAAAAAATACGTGTTTTAGATTTTTTTACGGGAGTCAATTAAAACTTTCTTTTTTTTAAATTTATTTTAGTGTTTAGTGATATAACTTGAAAAAACTTTTTGTTTGGTATAAATTTTTTTTTCTATTTGCATACCATAACTGGTCCAGCAGACCACCATGGTAGCGCAGGCCACCGGGCATTCGCCCGGTGTCCCGGCTGCCCAGCACGCCCCTGATCTCAGCTCACTTGAGTTGAGATCTCAGTAAAAAAAAACGCACCTACAATATACATGTTATTGTTGATTATTTTTAATTCACTAATATTTTGCTCTAACAATGATTACCGTTCATTTTCATGCGGTTAAAATTCATAGTTTTTAATTTTTAGCCACATGGAATTACATTTATTTTGATAGATTTTTTCGCCTGGAATCAGCCGAAAAATTTGAGTAGGTATATTTAAATTTGAGAATTCTGATGCTGTGCTATTATTTTCTAATAACATTTCAATGATTCGGAACTGAACCATCAGATCCGTATAAACTGTGTTCCCGGAACGGGAACGCCAATAAATAACTTAATATGCGATTTAAGAAAATCATTCCTCATAAAAACAATAATTGTATTTAAATGATCGGGGTGTTTAGAAATTAAGAAAACATTAAACTGCTTCAAGAGAGAATTACCTTTATTTATTATTTTATAGAATTTTTTGAAAAGAAACAGTGGTTGACAATTTAAATTAAAGTCTAAATCCAAAGTCTAAATACGAAACAATTTTTTTTACTGCTCAAGTTATAAAAATTTTGGACCCATCCATTAATTACGTGAGGCATTTTTCTGATAATTTGGACCCCTCCCTCCCCCTTGGTGAGATGTAGTAGACCCCCCCCCCCCATCCCTCACGTGAGATTCTAGCCATTAAACTTTCTCTGCGGACAACATGATTAACCCAAAAAATAAAAATTGATTACTTTTTTTGACAAATTTGAATTATAATACATAGGTATTCTTTAAACCCAAAAGTTGACGTGAGATTTTTAATGATCCCTTAACATGAGATTTGGTGAGATTTTGCTAGACCCCCCCTATTTTTTAATGGATGTCCCCTTTCCATCCTTTTGTATCGCCACGATTCGGAACGTCGCGCTTCGTGTCAAAAACACAAAAAACTTATGTGTGTGTTGTAAAACCGTCGGGTCGCATCGTCGGTTTTTTTTAAACGACGGTCCATCAGGTTTCGTATCAAACTGACGTCTGTGGGGGTATTTAAACAATAGCGCAGTCGCAAAATAGACCAAAAGTCAATGTGTCAGCAACAAAGCAACAAAAATTAACCGCCAGAATTTCCCGTAGTGTGTATGCCATATTGACGTTTTGGCACGACGCGCAGGGCTCCCAGCAGTCCATGTTGCGAGAAATAGTGACTTAAGAGACTAATAATAAAAAATAAACGACCAAATATAGACCAAATTAATTACCGAAATAACTATAAAATAGAGGTATCCATTTTTTTCGGATAAAAGATCTAAATTTGAATTTAAAATACATAGAGATAACTTGAAATTATAAATTTTTATTGAATTAAATTTAACAAGTAACCATAACTGTTATAAAATACATAAATAACAAAAAAAATATTAAATTCTGTAATAAATTATAACTTATAATAAATAGAATCACATTTATATAAAAGGCACTGGCATCAGTCATTTAATGGGTTTTTTTTGGTGGGCTGCAGCTGATCTATAAGTTTCGCCTTTCGTTTTTCTAAATCTTGGGCTAGACGACTAATCTTGTAAGTTACCTTCCCCGCTTCTTTTTTGGGATGGTTCACTCCTTCAAACATTAGTTGAGCCATACATATTTTAGTCATTTTTTTTATTTTCGGCACACTTCCTTAATCATTCAATTTAATTTTTTTTTATGTCAGTATAAGTACATTTAAACTTTGTTTTTATTAAATAATATAAATGTATAATTTTTAATAATCAAAACTATAGTTATACACTTGCCTTTGCTATCGTCTGAACATAATTTTTTAGGGTTATGGAATGGATAATAAAACATAGAATAGGAACACATTCTTTGTCACATGTTCTTTGATAGATACTAGGTACTTACTAATTACATGAAAAATGCATATATAGCTAGTGTTAACCTAGCGAACCGAAACTATAAACGTAAACGAAACCCTAGACCAAACCAGAAACAATTCAGCAATAATTTTGGCGGGCGGTTCGGGTCTGGACGGCGGGAACTTTAAATGTAAACTGCGAAGTTTTCGAAGGTTTCACTTGGTTTACTGTGGTTTCGAATATTGAATTGAATATTTATATTTAAAAAAATATTTTTTAATAGTTGATTTTAACAGAAAATATAGACTTTATAGACTTTAGGTAAAAAAATAGACTTTTATAGACTTAAGACAAAAATATAGACAAGTCTTTAAAAAAACTACCTGCTGGGAGCCCTGACGACGCGTCGCGAGGTTCGGAATCGTGGCAATACAAACAAATGAGAAACAACGAAATCTGGGGCCTTTAGACTCTAAGTACCAATACAGGGAAATCACGCGCAATGATTAACCTACTAAAAAGTGGTTCAATTTAAAAAAAAAACAAAGTTAAAATTTGTAAACACAAGTAATACTTATATAAAATAATAATATTGGTTTTCCGTTGACCGTAGGACACCTGGTATATTAAAATTGTCTGTTTAAATTTTTAAGTAGGTATATTTTAGTTTTTAAAATCGGTCAAATTTAAAATTAAGCTCGCTTGCTTAATTTATGAAAATGAAGCATAACTTTAATCATCATTATTTAATCGTCATTATTTTTAATAAATAACTTTTTTAGACCACTCACATCTCAAGTTTGCCCATTGAAATTATTTTTTTAATTTTAAAATGGTTGGTTTCAAACGACTTGGATTTAAAATCCTTGGAAACATTTTCAGCTGTTTGTAGAGGATTTTATTTGTGTGCTAGAGATCCAGAGATATGGAGACTGGCTTGTTTAAGGTACTTTATTACATAGTTTATTAATTTTAGAGTTTTGATGTATTTATTCTAGAGTCTGGGGTTTAAATTGTGATAACTCACCTGGTAAGTACTTAAGCTGGCGCAATATGTTTATTGAAAGGGCAAGAGTGCAATTTAATGGTTGTTACATTAGCAAAACTACCTATATAAGACATGGAGAAAATAGTTTTCAGGATACATTTTATAGACCCTGGTATATGGTAACCTATTTCAGATACCTAAGGTAGGTACTAAATTTATTATAAAATACAGAGTTTCTTAAATGAAATTTTTAATTTTTGCTGTCAAAACTATAACACATTTTTTAATATCTTCAAAATTTGCAAAAAGCATTTTTTTAATTTTTGTTTTCAGTCTTTTGAGCAGAATTTTTTTGTTGGCTTTGTAAAAAATTAAAATAATGGGGACGCATCCTATACCAATCACAGGTGGCTGCGAGAGGTAATCACTTTAAAATCAGCGAGACAAACGTTCAACGTTATGTGGACGTTTTTTCCTCTTCAGTCGTTATCAATAAGAAATTTCTCTTAGCGACGCGTTGCGCATGACTACCGTTGTGAATGTAATCCTTAACCCTGATTTATAGATTGCCTTCCTTCCTTCCTCCCGTAAAAGATGAACAATACGAAAATCGTATTGCTATTTATAGATTTCCGTACGGGAATCTTTAAACAGCACAACGGTTTTTGTATTGTTCATCTTCTACGGGAGGAAGAAAGGCAATCTATAAATCAGGCTTTAGCGGATAATTCGTATGCGATCTGGTGGCTGGAAAGAAAAAAAAAGCTTTCCTATGATGCACCAAAAACTCATTGGTGTCCGGTGACTCCTTAGCACCCCCTGAGACGAGAAAACTTCGGCGATCTATCTTTATCTCTTCTGTCCATTAACCATCTCTATACAAAACATTACGTCAATACGTTTTTTTCTCAAAAAAAAAAAAAATAATATTAAAAAACAAGAATTAATTAACTTGTTTTGTGTAGTCAGTCCTTAGCATTCGTATCGGGCCGATACGCGTATTTGGTGCAATTTATCTGAGGTTATAATCCAGATCATTATAATAAAATAACTTATTATATTACCTTTTCAAAATAAAATGTATTTTTTTAAATTAAATAAAATGACCAGAAAGAGAAAATTCATCTCTTTTTTAATCATGTCGATCTTCGACCTTTGTTAAAGATAATTATTGCATTTAAAACGTAATGCTTTACAAAATCAAATTTATGGAGAAAAAAAAATCATATTTTAAACTACTACTACATTTTATCCAGAAACTTTGGCAACATTTTATATTTTTAATAACTTATTTTAACTACGTATTTTCGTAACCCGATTCTTTAAGCATACTGAAATACTTATTTTGGCATATTCGTGATCATCTAGTTAATTTACTTACTTTATAAAAATTAGGACTCTACGTTGTGTATTTACGTACATTGTAAATAACGTTATTTTGAAATTGGTCAGGTTTAATAAAACACAAGTATTTAATTGTTAACCCCTGATTTAATTTAAGCAAAGACAAAGGGGTGGCCCGTTGAGTCTGAGCACAGGGAAAAGGGACCATAAAAATCCTGGCGACTTACACAGTTCAAATAAAAACAAACAAAACAAAGTCATATGGGTCATAATCACAAGAATACTATATAAATAATAAGTGAATAAAATAACATGAAAAGCAGATAAACATATATCATATAATTTGGGTGTTTTTATTAATATTCAAAACATTTTGTACTCAGGTAAAATAGTTATTAGAGATCGTTATTTTACGACGAAGAGTTGTACTATTTGTTTACCTCACCACGCATCTTCGAACTATTGAACGAGGATACGATTTTATATAAATAAACGACAAATTTCCGATAGGAAGAATTCAAATGCTTTAAATGGGAGGGGAAACATGGAAAAATATAATCTAATGCAGATGTTTAACCGTATCCAATAACCACACTATGGAATAATAGCATACTCTGTGAATTGATATAACGAAACCAAATGTCCCTAACTCACTATAGTGTCCCCGTATCACAATATGTTTAAATGTTCTCACAAAATCAATGTCCAGCACAAGACAACAGTATTATGAAAATATACAAACAATTCTACACACAGAGTTTATAAGTACCTACATAGGTAATAACATAACGACACCAAATCTTTTCATCTCACTATAGTGTCCCTATATTACCTATCCTCAAATATTCATGTATGAACACACTCCAAACAAAATATAAAACAAATACAAAATAATGTAAAATACAAATACAATAAATAAATAGTGGTAAATATGAGAGTATCATAACAAAAACTTACAAACATAGACTAAAACTCAAACTAAAAGAAAGTGTACTGAACAAAATAATATTTAAACCAAATACAGTACCGATAAGGTCATTATGAAATATTCCAATTAAAGCGCTTAGATAAGCAGTTTAAATCAAAAGGCTAAACGGTATTATTACCTTACCATGATATTACCTAATGGTAATATCAAATTTAATAATAATAAAAATAATATAATTGTTAAAAGCTTTAGCCTGAGTACAAATGCAAAGAGTTAAAATAAATAAATACCTTAATACCGAGATGATACACTGAGTTCCATAAACAATAAAATAAATGTCAGTTAAATAAAAAGTTATACAAAAGGAAACAACAAAACAACGTTATTTATACAATGGTCAGTGTAACTCAAAATAAAGACAACACAAATTATTAAAATTTAAGATAAATGTATTTCAGTGTATATGATGAACGCGACAACATCAAGCTTGAGATTGGAACTCAGTGTATGCGCGATCCCAAGATATTAAACCCAAACAATGAAATAGTAATACAATAAAACTTATAACCAAACAAACACTCAAAATACCGATATTAAAATGATTAAGACCCAATAAACTAGCAATGATAAAAGACATAGACCAAAAATTTTTTAACAGGCGTCTCGTACATATCACTGTGTAGATCTTTCTGCCCTTTACTCCCTTTTTCTATATTTTAAACATCTCGGCCACTTAAGCAAGCATCTCAGACATAAACCAATCTCCCTAAACATAAGGAACTTAAAACTATAATATTATTTTTAATAGATTATTTACATTTTTCTTGGTTAAAATAGCGCCAAATTTGAATTTAAAAGTTTATGTACTACAGGACCTTTACAACTATATATTTTATATATTTTAGATTTTTCCCCGATAGCAAAGTACTAATGCTAACCTCAGCCGATGAACCTAGTCAATGTGTTGGTAATTTAAAAAATAAAAATGCTAAAAGTCCTATCCTCACTGGGTACTATCGTATAAGTGATGATAAAATTACTGTAATAGTTCAAAATCTAAAAGAGAAAGCCGCTCATAGCTACAAGAAAAATCGTAAACATGATAATAACATGTATGAAACTGCAGAGCAAACATTTCATATGGTAACAAACATAATTTCCTTTAAATTTAACAAGTTTGAATTTTTATTTTTAGGAATTTGAAATTAAAAATTACAAACGAAAAAGGAATGTTCAGCTGGTTTGGAGCCATTATTCAGTGTACACTAGGAATATGATTGGAGATAAAAGTACCTGTGATTATGATTTAGTTTCAAACACCTTTCCACCTTTATGGTTTTCTCGAGTTAAAAGCTACACTTTGGAATCAGATAGTTCTCTTTAGGTAATAATTTAATTTAGGCCTGTTCCCATTAGTATACTAATATATTATTTGTATACTGGAAAATTCTTATTGGAATACACCTTTTTTAAATTAAAATTTAAAATTATTGGGCAGAAAAACATTCTTGCAGGAACTGGCCTAAAATTTAATAGTTTATTTATTAGCAATTTTTGGGAAAGGGAAATATATATTAGGAATGAAAACTTGTTTAATCATAAGATTTTATTTATCTACATAATAATATTGTACATAATAAATTAATCAAAATTATTGTTTTTATTCCTCTTTGTACATTTTTAGTTTTGGAAGGATTAATTTTGCACATCTACATGGTCTAAATTTATATATTATTTTTAAATCCTATTATTATAACTGTGTAGCACATAAATAAATAGAGTGCAGATATACACAGCGTAGCATAACAATGTTTTCTTTATTTAGAAATAACCTAACAAAATCAATTACAACTGTTATATTAATAAGAGTATAATGGTCCCAAATAAAATGAAAATTGACTAAAAACTTAAAATGTATTGCCAATATAACAGTGTAAGGTAAGTTTAAAAGTTAACAATATTAAATTTATTTACAATTTAAAGGTAATAAATTTGTGTCCCTATAAGTAATATCACTTTATGAAGAGAAGGCCATATGGCCATATACTCAAGCAATTTAGTACGGCCTTAACATTAAAAGCTATTCAGCTTTTTATTATTAAATATTTTAGATAAAATCAAATTGAACAAAACCCAAATATGCGTTATAACTTAAAAATTACCCAAAAATGTGTTAGACATTTTTGGGTCATCCTGTATAAATTCTTTGTAACCCTATTGCCTAACTGCTAAATTATTTTTTATTGTTAATACATATGTACATACAGCTACTGAACCACATTACACTTGTTATAAAAACTGTATTACAAATAGGTATAACAATTATCTACAAGAGCTCTAATATGACAGTGTTATAGAAGTACAGCGCATAAAAACATTGCGTGCCTTTTAAAATTATAGATCATTAAAATTCGTACTATTTTATTATTTATATCCAATAAAGTTTTTAATTTAAACAGATTTATTTAAAACTATTATTCATCTGAATTAATAATGCGCATTATCTCGAGTGTAATAATACTATGCTTTTCTAGTCCAATTAAATAATTTTCATTAATAAAAATATTTATAAATACTTCTGTTAGCCGGTTCTAACCTCAATTTCTCCCGCGTTTCTCCCGACATCACAGTAAATAATGAAATCGGTAAATCACCGATGCGTATCAACGGGAGTTGAATGGTATAAGAAAAAAATCAAATGTCAATATGATCCAATAGGAGTAGAAAAAATGATATGTGCCTGTAATCAACGATATTTTTCATTATACCTCTTTTAGAACAACTTTTGTTGAAAAATTAAATGTTCTCCTTTTAATTTAAGGTTTCGAGTGCAACGTTTATACTCCTTTTGAAATATGTCACTATTATTCTAAATTTAATATTAAATAGAGATTTTAGATTTATATATGAATCTAAAATATCTATTTAATATTAAATTTATATTGATTTATGAATAAATAATTTTATCTTAGTAGACACTAGGGGTGTCAATCCCGGGATCTTAGTAATAAGTTACAAAGAATAAAATATACTTTTTTTTCAAGCGACAATTTTTATACTCATAAGCATATATATAAACACTTTTACGCACTTCAAAAGTCAAATTTATTTATATTAAATTATTATACACCTCCGTACAATAATGAAAATACATTAAAATTACATAGCAAGAGTGGTTTCATCTAGAGCATAAAATCAGCAAGGAAAATGTAAAATAACAGGTCACTGTAGAATAAATTTATGAACATTAAATATAAGAAATTTCAAAAGTCAAACCTGAACAAATTTCACAAACTTGAATTTGAATTTCAATGAAAGGCTTTAGGCCCCCGGAGCTGAAATGTTGTAAATTTTTTTAACCATGAATTTTAGTTATCTTTAAAAATAGCCGCCTGGGCCTTTTCTCCTAAATCCGCCACTGTGTATAGTATAATAAATATATTTAAATTTCGGAGAGGTATAATGAAAAAATAGTTATTATTCAGGTTTCCCAAAAATAACGCACTGGGGAAGATACAAAATTACAATTTGCCGTTGAAAATACGTTGAAAAGTTTTTTCCAACCCAGATAACATGCGTGAATTCACGGTGAAAAATAATGCCTTACACTTGAATGCTGAAAGATGCGCCCGCCCCTTGAATTCACCGTGAATGCACACGTGAAGTTAGAAGTGAATGCGAATGTGAAGCGTTTTCTGCGTGGTTTAAAACTACTCACATTTTTACTTAAAATTAAAAAACAAAACACGTGTTATTTCTAAAAATAATAGGTATCACTTCATTTGCAAATACATCGAGTGGAAAATTTAAATTAAAACTGATTTGAAAAAAGACAAAAAAGTTACATTTAACTTATAAATAAAAGTTACTATACCTAGTCGTCGCGGCGAATGTTTCAAATTGCGTCATCAATGTCGAATGTCAAAAGCCGATTTCTCGACATACGGTTAACCTAGCGGTTCTTTGGATTATATACGTAAAATAAAACAACAATAATTGTAATGTCTGTGCTTGGTTCAGAATTTGATGACGCAATTTAAAAATTCGCCGCGACAACTATACCTATTGGTGTATCAAAGCACCACAGGTTAATAAAAGAAGAGATTGTACTTACAGTTATATATTCTTTATTTTGTTATCTATATAGTATGTGTAATTTAATTTAAAATTCATCTAAATAAATATTTTTAATTTCTTATTTCCTCCATATCAATGAATATCTTCTTATATATTTTCTTAATTTATTATATAATATCTTTCTTCTTCGTGTATTTTTTCTTATATTTTTTCTTGTATTTCTTCTCGTATAATTTTTTTTTATATTATGTGTATTTTGTTTATGTATGTTATATTTTATTTATTTTATTTATGTTATATACTTTTTTTTTATTATTCTTATGTTATGTTATTTTTGTTATAGTTATCATGGATAACTATTTTTTAACATATCATAAGTATCAAAGATATTAGCGATAGTCTTGAGACTCTCAACTAACAATGACACAAAATAAAGGTTATGTAACCAAAGTCACATCGACAACTTAAACCAACCCATAGCGCAATAGCCAATTGGCGCCAACACCTATACTATTTATATTTATTTATATATAATTATTATTATTATTTAAATGAATTTCTCAAATGTTAAAATTACATAATAAGTCCTGAAATCGCTCTCCTAAGGAGAGTCTCCTTACAATTTAAATTGTTAAAAACTACATACGTATTTTCAACGGCGAATTTATTAGTTCATTACTTAATAATTTGATTTGACGTTTTTTGTTTTAAAGTATTTTTTATATTTGACATCTACTGATGTCTAATTATATCCCAGACCGCAAAATCACATTCCCTGCACATGTCAGGAATATTCCCAGGAATATTCCAATCGTCCCAGAATATTCCCAGGAATATTCCTGGCATAATCAAATGTCCGCTTTTTGGTTAACCCAGGCATCATAAAAAGAATATTCCATATATCTGTCTGCAGAAGACTCAAGGATTGTTAGGGGAATATTCCTTGATATAATTTGGGGATTATTCCCAGCCCTTATTGCCTCTTATACCCAGGAACTTAACTTAAGTATAGCCATTATTGAGTTACTGAGTAGATCAGTCCCACTCTAATCATTGTTTGGCTGTGCCATCACAGACGCACATCTCCAACTAATATTATTAACCTATCGGTATATAAAGTTATCAAGCGTGCGTAAGCAACGGTGAGAGGTATTGCAACTAAACTAATGAATATTTACTGGGAATATTCTTAGATGATGCTTGGAAGTTTTAGAGGATCATTCTAGGAATATTCCCAATGAATATTCCTAGAATGAAGCGGATTATTTCTAGGCGATAGGGAATATTCCTGGAATATTTTCGAACCTTCATTGCAGTCTGGGATGGATTTATTGTGCCATTTTGGAGCACCCTGTATAATAATATATATTGTGATCCTAATTTATCAATAAACTGGGAAATATGCGCGGCAGTTATAAAGATAAATTTATAAATTATATTTAAAAAAAAGAGTAGGTACCTAGGTATTAATATAATTATATATATAATTATATTTTAAAGTGTATTAATTTTTACTCAAATATTATTTAATTATCAGGTAACCACGTGCAACCGAAAACAATTGAAAAATGATTAATAAAGCTCTATAAGAGCCAGAATTCTGGTTAACCATTTTATGAAGTAATACATGTAGGTATGTATAATAGGAAGCAAAATCGTAACTAATCACAGTATAATAGAATAGAATAAGACGACAATATAAATGTAAAAAATGTATTGTATTCTTAAACAATAAACCTCCGCCTTAAGCCTTTATTTTATTACTTACGTTTTAGGCGGTATTAGCCAGTTATTTGTTGTTGGTGCATATAAATTTACAACTTACACAATGAATTTTATTATTTAATTAATCGCGGAACCAAAGCGCGTGTTAAAGATTTCCGCTACAATTGACTCTTGACATCCACATGAGATCTTTCATTGTTGCTGTATGCATCGAGTACACTGCCACAACTACAAGGATATGCATAATGTTATGCGAATTGAGGTACATGTCCACAGAACCAGGAAACCATTTTTCAGGAATATGCATAGCACCTATTGCTCCACCCATTATTGATACAATATCCTAAAATAATAAATAAAACATTATATACAGTAAATTTATGGTTTAGTCGGGGCCAAATCTGCATGGGTGTATGTCATCAATGCGGTGTAATAAAGTTATTAGTATTACCAATTTTAAACTGAAAAGTTATTGCCGTTAAAATTTCTTTGAAAAAATTTCACTCATATACGTATTTTTTATCAAGAACTGTATCAATTTGTTTTTGAACGTTTTTTACGAAATTATCAAAAAAAAAGTGTGCATGAGTCATGAGCATGCATTCACCCATGTAGATTTGGCCGCAACTATACTATTATGGGTTAAAGGCAAGGAATCTATAATAGATTTATTGCCTTCAACCCATTTAACCTATATCCAAAGTTGCTTCGTTTAGCCGCAAGAGGGTTAGATAGAGTATTTTTTTCCAATGTCTTAAAAACTTAAAAGTCTTTTGTTGCCAGTCAGTGGCGGCTGGTGGATTTTAAGTATACCAATATCTCAGTTATTAGACATGGGACCCACACCAAATTTATAATAGTTTATATTGACATTAAATAAACAAGTTCGGCGCAAACAGAATTTAAATTGAAGTTTGCGAAAAAAAGTTAGTTTTTCCTGTCGCCTACCCTGCCTCCAGGCCCCCCTATTTGAGATAATTCAAATTAAAGTGGTGCAATTTATTATCTACTATAATTTATCGACAAATTTAAATTTTATTTAAAAAATCCAAATATTACAGTTTTTATACCATTTTAAATATTTTTTTATTTTAATAAAATAAATAATAAAAAATTAAAATCGAATAAAATCTGTAATATTTGGATTTTTTGAATAAAATTTTAAATTTGTCGATAAATTATAGTAGATAATAAATTGCACCACTTTAATTTGAATTATCTCAAATAGGGGGGCCTGGAGGCAGGGTAGGCGACAGGAAAAACTAACTTTTTTTCGCAAACTTCAATTTAAATTCTGTTTGCGCCGAACTTGTTTATTTAATGTCAATATAAACTATTATAAATTTGGTGTGGGTCCCATGTCTAATAACTGAGATATTGGTATACTTAAAATCCACCAGCCGCCACTGTTGCCAGTGTATTAGAGACAAAAAGCTTAAAAAAAACAAATTTGAACGCGTTTCAAGTTTTATAAAAAACATTGTTTTACTAACCCTTGCCCTCTGACGGCTGAACGAAGCAACTTTGGATATGGGTAGGTAGGTTCCATCTACCTACCTATATCCAAAGTTGCTTCGTTCTAGGTGGGGTTCAATCGGTTTATTTTGAGCCAAGAAATGTATGATAAGACTTTTTTTCTTACTTGTAATAACACATGGGAAAATGCATTGGGGTCTCCTCCTCCCCAACTAGATACCCTCAATATCCAAAGCCATATTCTCATAATAAAAGGTAAAAGAAAGCATAACCGTCTTTCCCAAGGGGACCATGCTGTTAGTGCTTTAAATAAACCATAAACACTTAACATACAGTATGAAGTTAATAAAAATATTCTTAGTATATATGGAAGGCAATAAGTAGTAGCTGTAACCATTGGCATTGCACCTAAAAAAATCAAATAAAATTTGAGATATTTAGTTATATTTTAGTTTTTTACCAAAACTTTGACTAATCCAAATTCCCAACATGTCTATTTGCAAAAGCTTGTAATATATGTTTTCTCCTCGTTCTAAATTCATAAAAACATGGTAAAAAAAGCTACCAACCCATGGGCATATTAATCCAGCAATGTGACACCAGGCCAGGAAGCGCAAGTTTATATTCGACCATGGAAGAGTTTGAGGCACCGTGAAAAGTATGTATATTATAGGAATAGCTAAAACCAAAAAAATATATTAATTGTTTTTTTAATACCCACTCTCTAAAAATGAATTAGTCAAAAATGGCTAGTTGTCATAGCGAAAAAGCAGTCAAATTCCATGTAAAAAAGTTAAAAAAATTAGAACAGTTTTTGAGATATAGTCGATTTTCCATGTAATATGGAATTGACTATATCTCAAAAACTGCTCTACTTTCATAATTTTACATAAGAATTGGCTAATAAATTTTGGGATACCATATATGTTATCCCATGGTTAACCATGGTACAAGTGAAAAAGCAGCTACTAATAACTGTAGTAATTAGTCATTTTTGACTAATTCATTTTTAGAGAACACCTACCTAAAAAAATTTAAAGCTGCTTAAAATTTTAGTACCTAAAAACTAATATAGAATTTATTTTCCTTATTTAATTTTATATTTTAATTTAATTTATATATGTATTTAAATAAATTTATAACTTAAATTCTCTAAAAATTATGATTATATAACCAAATTAATATATAAATAATAAATATTTGTAATCAAATAATATAAATTATTTACCGTGAGTCAAAATGTTAATAGTTTCGTTGTGAACATAAAAAATGCTATTAATGCAGCCCCACGCTGACAAAAGGGGCCTGTATCCTGTGTAAATATATGGGTTAAACTGTAGATGCCTTGGCATGTCCTTCCAATGCAAGAGCTCGGATTTTTTACGATATTCCTTGTCATCTTGACAGGTGTTTTTTGAGTAAAAGCGGTTAAGATTATTCGTATTTGCTTCAGGCATGGCTTTGGTTCCGCAATTTTTCAAATTTCCCCATTGATATGTTCAAAACATCACCGAAACATAGTTTTTGTTATCGTGGCGACAACGTAACACAGTGCCATGGTTTTAACGCGCGTTCCGACTAAAACGCGCAACTCTCCTTTTGACGCGGAAGGCAGGACACGGGAATTCGATATTGATTATAAAATTGGCCGCTGTAGCAAAGGTCTTTATCTAATTTTAAAAGCTGCTTTTATTTCTCAAGGACAATTCTGCTAGTATAATAACAAATTACCTTTAATTTTAAATAAAAAGTGACAGATTACTTCCTCTATTTCGCAAATTAAATAAACCTACTAAAATTTTTAGATAAGATATTTTATATTTTGTATGCTTACTTAACTTGTTATGCTGAATTTAAAAACAATAATAAAATTTATAATTTTTATTTTAAGCCCCAAATTTTTTGTATTTTTTGCAAGTTGAAGAATATAAAAATTTAGAGTTTTCTACGTAAAAAATGTACTCTTGTTAAACATAATATGCAATAAAATGCACCATTTTCGAATAAAAATAAAATCACGAATTAAAAAAAACTGCCTTTTTTCTTTCAATTTTTTTTTTCAAGCGTATAACAATTTTCATATTATAATACTCATAAGCCTAGACAGACTTATTTCTACGCAGTTCAAATTATTATACACCGCCGTACAATAATGAAAATAAATTACATAGAACGAGTTCCATCTATCGCGGTTAACCGCTAGAGCTAATTAGCTCTAAATCAGCAAAGAAAATGTAAACTTACAGGTCACTGTAGAATAAATTCAGCAAATTTGAAAAAAATAGTTTACACAACACGGCGGGCAAAGCAGCGAACACTGATCTCGGCTTTAAGCGCTTTGTCCGCCTGTTTTATAATGTACTATAACAAGGTACATTAGTAAAAAAATACATATATTTCCCATTATATAACCAAAATTCGTCCGCCACGTGCATGTACGTCACATTTTCAATCGAAACTAGATATTTGAATTACTGATGCAGTCTTTAATGATATTATTTTGTTTAATTAGTAATTATTATGTGTATTATTATTATAAATGTAAGATATTTAATTTTATGTGTGTGGGATTAATTTACAATGTCAAACTGTGCTGTGGCCACAGCACATAGCACATAGCTATGTGTAAAAATTATAATAAAAGGTAACAGCTAATAACATTATAAAGTTATAACTTATATACATACTTAAATAAAATCTTTTTTTTTAATTTAGTTTTTGGAGATTATGTGCTTCAAAAACCACATTTTGAAAAAATATACAGGGTGTTCCAAAGAAAACTTCTACACCCCAAACGGTTTAACAGGTTAATGTGGACAACATTCCTTGGACACGTCAATTTTTATTTCTAGGGGGACGAATTTTTTTTGTACGATTCACGCCCCCCATCGCCAAAATCATAAATTGTCGCCAAAATCATAAATTGTTGAGTTGTTGAGTGACATATCTAATTAAAGGTCTTTTAATTCTTAAGATTCTGTTTGAAAAATATGTCTGTTAGTTTTCGAGAAATTGCTATTTGAATTTTTAAATTAAGAGAAAAACAAAAAAATTGTAAATCAACGAATGTGTGGGTTTCATGGAGCAAATGTGGATTACTATTGCTATAAATGTTATGAATCACCTTTTATTAACATTAATAAAAAAGTTTCATTCCCTAGTTGTATACCCGCGGCTTTGCTCGCGTGGTTCTAAGAAAAACTGTTATTTTAACCAGGGTTGTGAACCGTAACAAAATTTCGGTCCATGGACCGGTTCGCCAGCGGTTCAGTTCCAAAAAAGGTCCATGTAACCGAACCGTTTGTGGACCGTTTGTGTTGGACCGGTCCAGCAAAAATAGGTTCGACTGAACCGGTCCGTTTTGGAACATTGACAGTGTGGACCGCCAAAAACGGTCCGGTCCACGGTCCATGGACCGGTCCGAACGAACGAAAACGTATCCTCCCAAACGTTTTAAAGGGTGAATGTGGCACGTCAATTTTTATTTGTAAAGGGAGACATTTTATTGTACGACCCCACCCGCACCCCTACGCGCTCTACCCCACCCGCCCCCAAAATCTTAAATTGCACGGGGGTTTAAGTGATATCGTTTTAAAGGTCTTTTAATTCTTAATAAGATACTGTAATTTTCTCATAAATCTGTTGGTCAGTTTTTTAAACTAGGTAAATTAAGAGAAAAACAAAAAAATTGTTTAATCAACTTTTTTGTGGGTCTCATGGAGCAAATGTGGATTAGGATTGCTCCAAATCTTATAAATGGTGATTCACTAGCTAAAGGTGATTTATTCAATAGCTGTATACTTGCGGCTTTGCTCGGATAACGTTTTTTCAGCAACTGTCATTTTGACAGCTCATTTCGGCATCTGTCATTTTGACAGTTTTTATTTGGACTCCTGTCATTTTGATAGCTATTATTTTTACAACTTATTTTGACAGCTGTCATTTGGGCACCTGTCATTTTATCATCACTAATTTTTATAGATGTTATTTCCGCACTTCCGCCATTTTGACAGCCTTTATTTTGACACCTGTCATCATGGAGCCTACACAAGGAGCCCGAACTTCATGTAAACAAGAATCTTCCTAAGATAAGAGGGCGCTGGTGTACTACCGGTCCAAAACAGTAGAGGGGTGTAACCAGAGATGGCGCCACTACCTACCACTTATTATTGTGGAAATAATTGAGGTTATGCAACTGTCAGTTTATCACTTTTTGAAAACACTGTACTCATGTACCTGGTTTTGCGTATAAAGGTCTTAATTTACAATAAATTAATATCAAATTTAACATTGGAATTCATGTTGGACTTTCTGATGTAGAGCATAGTACAGTTTTTTTATAAATACGTGTTTTTTTCTATAATAGAATGTCGTGTAATGTTAAATCGTGTAAAACGAACAGAATATTAAATCCATATATGGTATTTAAAATGTATGTAAAACGAACAGAATATTAAATCCATATATGGTATTTATTTTTAGTTTTATAGGTAGATGGCTTAAATAAAAGTTCAATATAAACAAATAAAGGTAGAAATTATTAAATATGCTGTTTAGGTACTCATTTTCTACATACTTTTTTATTTAAGTTTAACAAAAGTTTTGCAAATACTATAAAATATTTAAAATATATCAAACCCATGACCTCTCGGCTTGCAGCACTGACAGTGCTGACACCATTGGAGGTTGTTAACATCCAAACATTTTTAGGTCCAGAAATGGATGGAATAATTACCCTGGCGAAAATAAAGCGTGCATAAAAAGTGTGCAATAAGTGTTTATTTGGAGTGCAAGTCTTTATAACAATGTGCATACACGCTACTTTGTGGTAATTTCACACTTTTTGAAATAATTAAGTTTTTTACTCTTACTTTTTATTTGTCATACCTATGTCACGCTTATATTACATTATATTTTAGCACATTGTTTGCACAGTTTTAGTACATTGTTTAAAGACATTTTGCAAAGCTTCAGTCTATCTTACGTATGTCACATTTTATACACACTGTTGGCACACTTTAATATTTCTCATTTATGACGATTATATTACACCTTTTTATAGCACATTTTTTGTACAGTTTTAGCGATCACTCAACAGTTTAAGCACATTTTAGATATATCTCGCTTGAGTTGGGGTACAAAATTTATTTAAAAGGTGAGGTAGATTTCATCTTATGTATCGCTTCTCGGCCTATTGCTAAGGTACAGCCATAAAAAACAAAACGATTCGTACGTCAAAACATTATTGCAAATCAATTGTCAAAACTTACTTGCTTACTTCACATGTATTTTCGATACTATTTTCACGTCATTCGGACGCATCAACAAGCAGCGCCGCTGGTGGTGAAAAAAAAGACTTAAATTGTGCAATTTAGTGGACAGGTCATGGAGCCTACACAAGGAGCCCGAACTTAATAGGGAAAATTGACAAAACCTGTGCACTAAATTGCACAATTTAAGTCTTTTTTTTTCACCACCAGCGGCGCTGTTTGTCAATGCGTCCGTATGACGTGAAAATAGTATCAAAAATACATGTGAAGTAAGCAAGTAATTTTGACAATTGATTTGCAATAATGTTTTGACGTACGAATCGTTTTGTTATTTATGGCTGTACCTGGTAGGTAGATTCTAATAAATAGGTTTTGGTTGTGAAATATAAGTGATTCTTTATAATCTGTGAAGTGATTTTACGACTCTGGAGAAGCAAAATAAATAAATAGGTTTTGGTTGTGAAATATAAGTGATTCTTTATAATCTGTGAAGTGATTTTACGACTCTGGAGAGGCAAAATTAGATTTCCAGGAGCAAAACAAATAGAAATACACCGCTATTTAATAATTTAAATTTAATTTAAATAAAAATGTATGTATAAAATGAGTAAACAGCATATTTAATAATTTCCACCTTTATTTGTTTATATTGAACTTTTATTTAAGCCATCTACCTATAAAACTAAAAATAAATACCATATGGATTTAATATTCTGTTAATTTATGGTTTTAGCATCACACGACATTCTTTTATAGAAAAAAACACGTATTTATAAAAAACTGTACTATACTCTACATCAGAAAGTCCAACATGAATTCCAATGTTAAATTTGATATAAATTTATTGTAAATTAAGACCTTTATACACAAAACCAGGTACATGTGTACATTGTTTTCAAAAAGCGATAAACTGACAGTTGCATAACCTCAATTATTTCCACAATAAGTGGTAGGTAGTGGCGCCATCTCTGGTTATACCACTCTACTGTTTTGGACCGGTAGTACACTAGCGCCCTCTTATCTTAGGAAGATTCTTGTTTACATGAAGTTCGGGCTCCTTGTATAGGCTCCATGGGACAGGTTTTGTCAATTTTCCCTATTAAGTTCGGGCTCCTTGTGTAGGCTCCATGTACACGTTCATCGCCCATAATGGCGGGTGGGGGCAGCGTTGCCATTCGGTATACGGTACAAACCTCAATACCGTACACAAATGTACGGTAAATTTACTACTTAACTGACATATTTTCATACATAATACAGGGTGTTATGTAATTAATGTTATATATTAAAATACT